CTGAAACTATGAAAATACCATGACTATATGAAAGGTATGTTCTGAGCAGATGGGTCCATCACCTTTCGAGTTAGCAGTTTAAACAGTTTGAATCCTAATAGACATTTTCTAGAAAAATTCACTCCAGGATCATTCTCTTTATTTCAACATAATCTGGCTTTGAACTTGAGGACTCAGCAAGGACTCTGTAATCTCTGGCGTTAGTTTTATGTCAAAAGACAGGCAGTCAACAGACGCACGGAGTTGGTGGTAAACAGTAAACCAGAAGGCAGCGATCCACACTGCCCAGGCAGGAGCTGACCAGCCCTGAGTGCTGACTTTGCTAAGCGCTTTTGCACTGGGGGAAAGGAAGGAATTAAAGAAGGATAAATTTCCTTTAAAAATGAGATGATCATAGGTACCCTCTTATTAACGAAAAAATTAAAGGAAAAAAAATAAAAATGAGATGAAAGGTTCAGGTGCTTTCTTGATCAGAGAAGTTTGCTCTGGCTTCCCCCTCCTCATTATCTAACTATTACAGACTGCTACTGTGGCTAAAATCAGTTTCAAGAAATAGAAAATGAATCCCCATGAGGGTAATGTCCACATGCCACTTACTTTCTAAAACAAAATGTCATAATCCCTATTGCTGTTTGGACTAAAGGCACCTTTGGAGGTGCTCAGTCAACATGTACCAAGTTAACTACTCGTATAACCCGCCTCTGTCAATAGGAGATGCTTATTGAAAGGGTGGCCCCCTTTGCTTCCTTGGGGGGGTAGGCGGGGGAAGATCTGAAAAACAGCTGCACAGATTCTTCTGTGGCGATACAAAGTGACAGTGGACAGAAAATGCCCACTAAAAGTCCTCGCTAGCATTCCTATTTTTACCTCAAGTTTTTGCATATCCACATAAAGACAAAATCCACATTGCAAGTAAGAATAATCTCCGATCCTATTTCAAATCAGGATATGAAATCAGGGGTTTCTCTAACCCTCAGTGATGAATATTTATTGCTCTAAATGTTTTAGAAATTATCAATCATTGAAGGTGAATATTGCTTTGTGCTTAAAATAAATTCTTTCCAATCATAAGGATAAATAAGAAAACACAATAGAAAAAAAAAAATGAAACAGAATATAGCATTTAAGCACGGAGTGGGACAGAGGAAAATCAGTTTACTTTGGCAGCTGTTTTCATAGCACAGTTACCCAAAAGCAGAACTGAAACTGAAACTGAAGCTTAACAGCGTGCTCCTAAAATCCTTTGGACAGCTAAGATAGACTCACTCGTTACCTTCAAGTGGCCAAGGTGCTTGGAGTTGAGGCAAGACAACTCGTTAAAA